ACAAGCATCTATCCCACCCTCTGGAAATCCTCTTATGAAGAACACCAGAGGTATATACCGCACTGAGTAACTGAGACTACTAGCCACAAGGAAAAAGCTAGAGGATAACTGAACCTTTCCTGGGCTTGAAAATCTACCCAGGAAAGTAAGACTTTACAGTGGTGTTCAACATGGGCCCACCCAGGCTCATTCAAACCCAGTAGAGACAGCCACAAACAGCAGAACACCAACACCCACAGGGAAAATTTGGCAGGCTCCAAAACACACTGAGATAGCAAAAATGGTGAAACAAAGAAAAAATCCCAAATGAAAAAACAAGAGAACACTATAGAAGATGAGATCAATGAAATGCAGCTAAGCAAATTATCAGAGGTAGAGTTCAGAGCCATAATCTTGAGGAAGCTCAACAGCATGAGTAAGGACATCAGCACCATGGGTAAAGATATAGAAATATTGAAAACCAACCAAGTAAAAATGAAGAATGACACAGCAGAAATTAAGAACACATTGGAAGGACTAACCAGCAGAGTAGAGGAAGCTGAGGACTGGATCAGTGAATTAGAGGATAGGGTAGAAAAATCAACCAATCAGAAAACCAAAAGGAAAAAAAAAACAAAGAACAGAAAGACAGCTTATGAGAACTGTGGGACAACTGGAAACGTAATAATATTTGCATCATAGGAGTCCCCGAAGAAGAAGAAAATGAGCAAGGGTTAGAGAATATATTCAAAGAAATAGTGACAGAAAACTTCCCTAATTTGGTGAAGGAAGAAGGCATTCAGGTTCAAGAAGCACAGAGAGCCCCAAGTAAGAAGAACCCAAACAGGCCCACACCAAGACACATAGTAATCAAAACGCCAAAAATTAAAGACAAAGAGAGAATCCTAAAAGCAGCAAGAGAGAAGCAACAGATTACCTACAAAGGAAACCCCATAAGGCTCTCAGCTGACTTCTCAACAGAAACACTACAGGCCAGAAGGGAATGTCATGAGGTAATCAAGGTCATGAAAAACAGGGATCTAAATCCAAGACTACTTTACCCAGCAAGGCTATCATTCAAAATAGAAGGTTAAATGAAGAGCTTTCCAGACTCCCCCCCCCCCAAAAAAAAAAATAAATAAAAGGCTAAGGGAATACATTAACACCAAACCAGCACTGCAAGAAATGTTAAAAAGGACTGCTGTAATTAGTAGAGGAAATAGGAAAAAAAAAAAATAGGACCACACTTAACAAAAATGGCAATAAATGAGTACATATCAATAATCACCTTAAATATAAATGGATTCAATGCTCCAATAAAAAAAACACACAGTAGCTGATTGGATAAGAAAGCATGACTCATCTATATGTTGTTTACAAGAGACCCACCTCACAACAAAAGACTTACATAGGTTGAAAGTGAAGGGATGGGAAAAAATATTCCAAACAAATGGAAAGGAAAAAAAAGCTGGGGTAGCAATACTCATATCTGATAAAATAGCTTTCAAAATGAAGGCTATAAATAGAGACAAAGAAGGCCGCTACATAACACTGAAAGGATCTATCCAACAGGAAGATATAACCTTGATAAACATATATGCACCCAATATAGGAGCACCAAAATATATCAAAAATCTTCTGGATGACTTCAAAGGAGAAATCGATAGCAATACAATAATAGCTGGGGACTTCAACACCCCACTGACATCACTGGACAGATCCTCTAGACAAAAAATTAGCAAAGAAACAGACTGTAAATGAAGCACTAGACCAAATGGATTTAATAGATGTCTACAGAGAATTACACCCCAAAACTACAGAATTCACATTCTTCTCAAGTGCACATGCGACATTCTCAAAGATAGACCACATATTAGGACACAAACTAAGTCTCTACAAGTTCAAGAAAATTGAAATCATATCAAGCATCTTCTCAGATCACAATGGCATGAAAATAGAAATCAATTGCAACAATAACATGCAAAGACATTTGAACACATGGAGGCTAAATAGCATGTTATTAAACAACAAATGGGTTACTGAGGAGATCAAGGAAGAAATTTAAAAATTCCTGGAAACCAATGAAAATGAACACACAACAACATAAAATCTATGGGATGCAGCGAAAGCAGTTCTGAGAGGGAAGTTCATAGTACTACAGGCCTACCTAAAGAAGCAAGAAAAATCTCTAAATAGACTATCTAACCTCACAACTTAAAGAAGTAGAAAGCAAACAAAAAGAAAACCCCAGACCAAGTAGTAGGAAGGAATAGTAAAGATCAGAACACAAATAAATGACATAGAGTCCAAAAAAAAAAAAAAAAAAAAAAACAATTCAAGGAATCAATGAAACAAAGAGCTGGTTTTTCGAAAAGATAAACAAGATTGATGGACCCTCAGCTAGACTCACCAAGAAACAAAGAGAGAGAACCCAAATACACAAAATCAGAGATGAAAGAGGAGAAGTAACAACTGACAGCACAGAAATACAAAAGATCGTGAACAACTACTGTGAACAATTATATGGCAACAAATTCGACAATCTAAGCAAAATGAACAAATGTCTAGAAACACATAGTCTCCCAAAACTGGACCGGAAATTTTTCAGTCATCATTTCTTCAAATCAGTTCTCAATCCCTGACTCTCTCTCATCTTCTGATACCCCTTTCATTCAGATGTTGTTATGCTTGATGTTGTCCCAGAATGCCCTTAAACTACCTTCATTTTTTTAAAATTCTTTTTTCTTTTTTCTGTTCTGATTGGGTGTTTTCTGGTACCTTGTTTTCCAAATTGCTGATTCAATCTTCTGCTTTACATAGTCTGCTATTGATTCTTACTATTGTATTCTTCATTTCAGAGATTGTATTCGTCATTTCTGACTGGTTCATTTTTATGGTACATATGTCCTTTTTTATGCTTACTATCTGTTTGTCGAAGTTCTCACTTCATTCATCCATTCTTTCTTTAAGTTTCTTGAGCCTTCTTATAACCATTGTTTTGAATTCTGTATCTGATAGCTTGCTTGACTCTATTTTATTTAGTTTCTTTTTTCCTGGGAATTTCTCCTGTTCTTTCATTTGGGGCATGTTTCTTTTTCTCCCCATTTTGGATGCCTCTCTATATTTGTTTCTGTGTATTAGGTAGATCTGCTATGTTTCCCAGTCTTGGTATGGTTGCCTTATGTAATAGGTGTCCAATAGGGCTCAGTGGCACAGTTTCCTTGACTGGTGTTCCATGAATGTCCCTGTGTGGGTTATGTCAGCCCTCATGTTGTAGTTGAGTCTTGATTGCTGTTGGCCTGTTTTGGGGTGGGGTTGACCTTCAGGATGGCTGCCTGACTACAGTGCACTAGCTGCTGTGCAGGGGCTTGCCCCACAAAGTGGAACTCATCACAGCAGTGTCTGGTGCTTTTTAAGATCTCCCTTTGGGCATGCTTCTGTGGAGTTCTTTGGAATGTGTTCTATTGTGGTCTGAAGCCCGCCACTGGATGTGTTGCTTCTGGGGGCTCTTACAATAGCCTCCAGTACAGGTCAATATCATACACTGCCTGTGATTGGCTCTCAGCCACCTCTTAGGAGCTACAAAGCAATTCACAGTTGGTGCCTATGGGAGAGCCAAGCTATGTACTGAGGCCAGCTTCCACTAGAACTGAGCCTGGCACAGCTAAGCAAAAGGCCCAAGGCACCCCAAGATCTGCCTCTGCTTTCCAGCTGTCTGTTAGGTTCAGTCACTGAAAGAGTCTCTGGTGGTGTGTGAGTTGCATTAGGTAAATTCTCAGTCAGTCACCAGACAGGAGTGAGGGTGTTCATCAGGTTGATACAAATTCAAACTTGGTGCCAATCCTGGGTCTGAGGCCACAAAGCTACACCGAGTCCTGATGCCACTTGCCTGAGGCCTGTGGACCTTTGCAGTAGGGTGGTGCCCAAGGAGTCATCCAGTCCCCAGGTAGAATTTATTAGGCTAAAACAGATTAAGATTTGGCCTTTTGGATGGATGGCTCTACACAGGAACTGTGGTGCCATTGGGGTGCAGGAGGAAAATACCCCTTGCCCTAGAACCACACAACTCAATCTCTCCATGTGTGTTTCTGACACCCCTTGAGTCTGCCCAGATCTCTACAAGAGTCTCCCAGAAAAGACTGCACCATGCACCCTTACTAGCTACAGCTAGCTGTTTTTTTCTCTATGGTTTGAGATTAGTAGTGTGGGGCCATTTGTAGTCAAGAGGACGGGCCCATGTGTATGTCACCAGGCTGACAATGTGGGGCGATGGCACTGTTCAGGAGCTCAGGGAGAAAATATCTCTTGCCTCAGAGGCACACCACTCAGTCTCTCCCTGTATATCTCTAACACTCCATGAGTCCACCCATACCTAAAGAGTCTTACAAGAAAGACTCTACAGTGCTCCCACCCTGGCTGCAGCTAGCTGATTCCTCTGCAGGGCACAAGCTTGGCAGGGTGGGACCACAGGGAGTCAGGAGAGTTGGGCCAGTGTATCTCTCCAGGATGATGCAATATGGAGGGGAGTGCTCAACCTCTAAAAGATGACATCTATGGGTGATTTGGGAGAAAGACAGCACAGGGACATCTGTGGCTGTCCCTCCAGCCCTCTCCCTAAATCCACACAACTCCGTCTCTTCCTGTACGACTCTAGTACAGTCTGAGTCACCATTCCTCTGCTGGAGCCCAGGGTGAGTTTCCCCAAATAAGAATTTGTGAGTTGGCCCTTTAAGAAGGCACCTGGTTTTCTAGCCATCTCCTATCTCACCATAGTGTATTTTTCACAACCAGATGTTACGTGGTGTCTTCTTCCTGGCTCTGGTGCTTCAGGTTGGGTTGTCCAGCATGGGGCCAAGACCCCTTGCTCCTCAGGGGGGACCGGTACAGATGAGATATCACTCTGGATTTTGAACCACTACACATGGATACAGAGGAGCCCTTTTCAAGTCTCTGACCTCCCTACCAGTCTTGAGGACACCAGATAGAAATGAGTAAACCTTTTGTTTTAAGACTTCTGTTCACTGTGCATATTTTCACTGTTCTGATTTTGTAATAATCAAGGCAGGCTAAATATATGCTATATTAAGCCCTGGCCTGTTTGGCTCAGCGGTTAGAGTGTCGGCCTGCGGTCTGGAGAGACCCAGGTTCGGTTCCCACTAAGGGTGCATACCTCGGTTGCAGTTTGTCCCCGGCCCTGGTTGGGTCGTGCAGGTGGCAACCACTTGACGTGTGTCCCTTTCATGTCGATGTTTCTCTCTCTCTCCCTCTCCCTCTCCCTCTCTCCCTCACGCTATCTGAACAAAAAATGGAAAAATGTCCTCAGGAGGTGAGGATAATACACACACACACACACACACACACACACACACACGCTGTATTAAGACCATACTTGTGTCCCCAGTCCTAGTTTTTTGTCTAGGTCTGGATTTATAAATGCTGGAGATGAACCAAGTTTTTTTTTATTTTTTTATTTTAAATACTTCTGTTCAGCTAGCCTTCAGTTGGTTATTCAGATTGATTATTCTATAATTTAATTGTAATTCAGACTTGGTTCTGGAAGGAAGTGAATGTACCTTTCACCTACTCTGCCACCATCTTGGATTTCTAGTTCATCCAATGTCTCTTTATGCTAATATGAGCAAATATGAATATTTTTTTCTATTCCCTACTTTCATATACAAAGGGTAATATACTATATATACTTTTCTGCCCCTCACTTTTATTTACAAGTAACAATTTAAAGATAGACAAATTAAACTATATAAAAATTTAAACTTTAGTTTAGCAAATTACACTATAAATAAAATCAAAGAATAAACTTGGGAAATTATTTCCATGTAACGAAAAGTTGATTAAACCCTGATAGGGAATTAATCAAGTAAAATATGTTGAATTCATATAATGGAACATTCTGTATTCATTCTAATACATGCAAAGGCAAGTAGAAAATTAAAACTGAGTAATAATCAAAAAGAATTTTAGCACCACTACAAAGTTTTAACATATTTTAGAGGATATCCTGACCTTATATGAACTGTATAATTTTAAATTATTAAAAATAAAGTGGGGAAACTAACAAAAAGTACATATCTCTATAACTGGAAACTATTTCTAATGTATAATATTAAGTAAATAAACCACTTTCAAAATGTTATCTATAGTATCCTATTTGATAAAAATAAAAATTGCTATTAGCATAGAAAAATATATAGAAAAAGACTACATAACAAACTATTTATAATAATTATCTCAGGGGTGTGAGAGTAGGAAAACTTTCCACTTACTACATAGTGTGTATGTAATATTCACATTTTTAACATGAATGTATCACTTTCTTATTCAGATAATTTGAAAATATATTTTTAATGTTCTAACCACAATATTCTTTCTTCTGCTTCATTTTTATTTTTTTATTAATTAATTTATTTTTGTTACAGATGTTTCGCCTTTTCCCCCCACTGATTCACCTCCCAGCCCTGTCCCCAGCTTTGTTGTCCATGTCCATTGTTCATGCATACATGCATATAAGTTCTGTGGTTTATCTCTCCCCCAACACCATCTCTTCTGGGGATTGTCAGTCTGTATACCACTTCCACATCTCTGGGACTACCTCGTTCCTCAGACTGTTATGTTCATTATATTCCACAAATAAGTAGGATCATATGCTACTTGTCTTTCTCTGTTTGGCTTGTTTCGCTTAGGATGATACTTTCCAGGTCCCTCCAAGTCGTCTCAAAGGATAAGAGATCTTTCTTTTTTACAGCTGCATAGTACTCCATTGTGTATATGTACCACCACTTTTTTATGCATTCCTCTACTGATGGATACTTGGGCTGTTTCCAGATCTCAGCTATTGTAAATAGTGCTGCTACGAACATGGGGGTACATATATTCTTTCTGATTGGTGTTTCAGGCTTCTTAGGGTATATTCCTAGAAGTGGGATCACTGGGTCAAATGGAAGTCCAATTTTTAATTTTTTGAGGTAACAACATAATGTTTTCCATAGTGGCCGCACCAGTCTGCATTCCCACCAGCAGTGTACTAGAGTCCCCTTTTCTCCACACCCTCGCCAACACTTGTTGTTTGATGATTTGTTGATGGCGGCGATTCTGACAGGTGTGAGGTGATACCTCATTGTTGTTTTAATTTGCATCTCTCTGATGATGAGTGGTGTGCAACATTTCTTCATATGTCTCTTGGCCATTTGTATGTCCTCTTTGGAGAGGTGTCTATTCAGTTCCTCTGCCCATTTTTTAATTGGGTTCTTTGTCTTCCTTTTGTGGAGTTGTATGAGCACTCTATATATATTAAAAATTAACCCATTATCTGATATATCATTGGCAATTATGTTCTCCCATACAGTGGGATGTCTTTTCATTTTGATGATTGTATCTTTTGCTGTACAGAAAGTTTGAGTTTGATGTACTCCCATGCGTTTATTTTTTCCTTTGTTTCTGTTGCCTTAGGTGATGTATCAGTGAAAATACTGCTGCATATGATGTCTGAAATTTTGTTGCCTACATTTTCTTTTTTTTTTTTTTTTATCCTCATCCGAGGACATTTTTCGATATTTTGTTCAGATAGAGTGAGAGGGAGAGAGAGAGAGAGAACCATCGACGTGAAAGCGACACATCGAGTGGTTGCCACCCACACGACCCAACCAGGGCTGGGGACAAACTGCAACCAAGGTACATGCCCTTAGCGGGAACCGAACCCGGGTCTCTCCGGACTGCAGTCCGACGCTCTAACCGCTGAGCCAAACCGGCCAGGGCTACATTTTCTTTTAGGCTTTTTATGCATTCATGAGTCACATTTAAGTCTTTTATCCTTTTTGAGTTTATTTTTGTGTATGGTGTAAGTTGATGGTCTAGTTTTATTTTTCTGCATGTAGCTGTCCAATTTTCACAATACCATTTATTAGAGAGGCTGTCTTTACTCTACTGTATGCTGTTGCCCCCTTTGTCAAATATTAATTGAGTATATTGCCTTGGATCCATTTCTGGGTTCTCTGTTCTGTTCCGCTGGTCTATATGCCTGTTCTTGTGCCAGTACCAGGCTGTTTTGATTACATTGGCTTTGTAGTATAACCTGAAATCTGGTAATGTGATCCCTCCTACTTTGTTCTTCTTTTCCAAGATTGCTGTGGCTATTCGAGGTCTTTCTTGGTTCCATATGAACTTTTGAAGTATTTGTTCAAGTTCTGTGAAGTATGTCGTTGGTATTTGATGGGGAGTGTATTGAATCTATAGATTGTTTCGGATGGTATGGACATTTTAATGATGTTAATTCTTCCAGTCCATGAATAAGGTATGTGCTTCCAGTTTTTTATATCTTCCTCTATTTCTTTTTTCAAAGACCTGTAGTTTTCTGCGAATAGGTCCTTTATTTCTTTGGTTATGTTTATTCCTAGGTATCTTAATATTTTGCCATCATGGTAAATGGGATTGTTTTTTTAGTTTCTCTTTCTGTGAGTTGACCATTGGATAAAAATGCCATCAATTTCTTGATGTTCATTTTGTATCCTGCTACTTTGCCAAATTTATTTATTAAGTCTAGTAAATTTTTGAGTGAGTCTTTGGGGTTTTCTACATATAGTATCATGTCATCTGCAAATAATGACAGTGTCACTTCCTCCTTCCCAATTTGGATCCCTTTTATTTTTTCTTCCTGTCTGATTGCTGTGGCTAAGACGTCCAATACTATGTTAAATAAGAGTGGCAAAAGTGGGCATTCCTGTCTTGTTCCTGTTCTTAAGAAAAATGCTTTTAATTTTTGCCCATTGAGTATGATGTTGGCTGTAGGTCTTTCATATATGGCCTTTATTATGTTGAGATGTGATCCCTCTATTCCCAGATTGCTGAATGTTTTTATCAGAAATGGGTGCTGGATTTTGTCGAATGCTTTTTCAGCATCTATTGATATCATCATGTGATTTTTATCTTTCATTTTGTATATGTGATGTATCACATTTATTGATTTGTGAATATTATACCAGCCTTGCATCCCTGGGATGAATCCCACTTGGTCATAATGAATAATTTTTTTGATGTATTGCTGGATCCGATTTGCTAGTATTTTGTTCAGGATTTTGACATCTGTGTTCATCATGGGTATTGGTCTGTAGTTTTCTTTCTTTGTAGTGTCTTTTTCTGGTTTTGGAATTAGGATTATTCTGGCCTCATGAAACAAGTTTGGAAGTCTTTCTTCTTCTTAAATTTTTTGAAATAGTTTGAGGAAAATGGGTATTAGTTCTTTTTTGAATGTTCGGTAAAATTCCCCTGTGAAGCCGCCCGGGCCTGGGTGTCTGTTTGCTGGGAGAGTCTTGATTACATCTTCACTTTCTTTTGTTGTTATTGGTCTGTTCAAGTTTTCTACCTCTTCCAGGTTTAATTTTGGGAAACTATGTGTTTGTAGAAATTTGTCCATTTCACTTAGATTGTTGAATTTGTTGCCGTATAATTGTCCATAATATTTGTTCACGGTCCTTTGTATATCTGTGGTGTAAGTTATTACTTCTCCTCTTTCATTTTTGATTTTGTGCATTTGGGTTCTCTCTCTTTGTTTCTTGGTGAGTCTAGCTAAGGGCCCATCAATCTTGTTTATCTTTTCGAAAAACCAGCTCTTTGTTTCATTGGTCCTTTGAATTGTTTTTTTTGTGTGTGTGTGTGTCTCCATGTCATTTATTTCTGCTCTGATCTTTACTATTTCCTTCCTTCTACTTGCTCTGGGGTTTTCTTTTTGTTTGCTTTCTAGTTCTTTAAGTTGTGAGATTAGATAGTCTGTTAGAAATTTTTCTTGCTTCTTGAGGTAAGCCCGTAGTGTTATGAACTCCCCTCTCAACTGCTTTCGTTGCATCCCATACATTTTGTGTTGTTGTGTGTTCATTCATTTTCATTGGTTTCCAGGAAGTTTTTATTTATTTATTTTTAAATTTTCTTTAACATTTTTTTTGTTACAGATGTTTCTCATTTTTTACCCCATTGATACCCTCCTCCTTCTTTCCCCCCACCCCTTCCCCAGATTTGTTGTCCATGTTCATTGGTTATACGTACCTGCATATAAGTTCTGTGGTTTATCTCTTTCCTCCCCCCACCACCTCCTCTTCTGAGGGTTGTCAGTCTGTACCCTACTTCCATGTTTCTGGGTGTACCCTCTCCCTCAGATTGTTATGTTCATTATATCCCACAAATAAGTGAGATCATGTGCTATTTGTCTTTCTCTGTTTGGCTTGTTTCATTTAGGATAATACTTTCCAGGTCCCTCCATGTCGTCTCAAAGGATGAGAGATCTTTCTTTCTTACAGCTGCATAGTATTCCATTATGTATATGTACCACCACTTTTTTATCCATTTGTCTACTGATGGACACTTGGGCTGTTTCCAGATCTTAGCTATTGTAAATATTGCTGCTATGAACATGGGGTTACATATATTTTTTCTGATTGGTG